CGCGCACTGCAAAAAAAAACAAAAAAAAAAACTGGAAAGTGAGTTTTGACAATCAGTGACTAGAGATGTACCAGACTTACCAGGCTGGTAATGAGCATTAAATACATAGTTTCTTGTGGAAATTATATATGTTTAAGGTATAATATGTAATAGCTGTATAATCTGATAATATATAGTATTAACTATTTTTTTTTAATGGAGGAAGAATGAGGAAAGCATATTCAAAAAGCAAAATTTACTATCTTAAGCAACCATATTGGTGGTGGTGGTGGTAGTATTGTTACTCTGAAATATCTGTATGTGTAACAAGGGATGAAGGTAATAAGCAACCATGGGATATTCAAATTCTATAAACCCCTGCATCTCTGAGAACCAGAACACTCAGTTTGGAAGGAAAGAGATTTTAAGTGGAAGTTATCAGTATGAATTCACAAAGTATTTTATCTTTAAGGTATATAAAATACATATACTTCTTAGCTCTGTCCACTGGAAAGGTCTATAAACAGTCAACCCAACAATATGGACATTCCTAGCTCCAATATTATTTTCTAGTAGAAGAATCCAGGAATTCTCAGAATTTTCTGATTAAAGATTTGAGACAGGAAAAACACAAGATGAACCTGGCATATCTTGTCATACCAGAGAGCAAGAAACTGAAGACTAATAGGATTATGTCAAAAAAAAAAAAAAGAAAAAACGACTCAGGAACCAACTTGAAGAGGATCCCATTTGCCAAAAATAAGATAATTTGAGCTTCAATAAGGATAATGATTACGATAGACTGAAACACTTCTACCATGCTTAAATCCATGAGTCCATAATGATTCTTTTTTATTTAAAAAACCCTAGGTGATCATCTTTGGAGGTGATAGAGAACTAATTCATTACCTGATGACAAAGGGAAAGAATCAACCATTTATCCTGCCTTCTCTAAATGAACTATATTCCTGGGTAACCAAACAGATTAGAGGAAATGTCTCTTAAATTCCAACAAATAAGCAAGCATTTGGAACCAGCAAAATCCAGACTGGGACAAGCTCCACAGGTTAACAGCCTGCTTTTTCAACAGCTAAGTTCTAAGTAAAAGAAAGGGATGGAGGGGGACTCCGTAGTTTAGCTGACTTAAAAGGCATATCAAACTTTTTTAAGTGGCAAAATCAGAGTATCTAGAGATGCACACTTGGTAGCTAAAACTACAAAGAAATATTATAAAAATCAAGACTGTTTTGGGGGGAGGGAGTTTTGATTAGGAAGGACAAAGCCCATGGCAAGACTTCTGAGGTGGCCAGCAAAATACTATTTCTTGACCTGGTGGAGTTACACAGGTGTTAAGCATATAATAGTTCATTAAGCTATACATTTATATTTCGTGGTTTTCTATATCTGTTTTATTTTCTAATGAAAAAGCTTAAAAAAAAAACAACAAAAAAAACATTGCCTACAGAATAAAGTTCAAATTGCTATGCATAGCATTCCAGACCCAAATAACCTGGTCTCAAATTATACTTCAGCTTTATCTTCCCGTTTCAGGACGTCTCTCTTCAGACACCTTATCTGCCACCACTCCCAGCAACCCTGATCTACCAACTACTCTCTAAATAAATCATGCTAATTCTCATTTGTTTTGTCCATTGCGCAGTTCCCTTTTGCTGATTCTTAAAATTCAACTAATCTTTCAAGGTCAAGCTCAGAAGCTGCTTCCTTCAACCCCCAACTGCCACAATCAATATAAGTTTCTTTCCTTGGGATTCTACAGCAAACTCCCAGCCTTTCACACAGAGCCTATTTCACTCTGCCTTGCATTGCTCACCCAAGATAACAGAAAGAACAGATTCAGACAGATCTCAATTTCAATTCCACAGTTTCATTCATTTAGAGAATATTCACTGAGATCCTAATTTTGTGTAGCAGATACTGGGCTAGGCACTAGGGATTTAACAGTAAACAAGTTAAATACAGTCCCTACCTTCATGGAGTTTACAGTCTAATGGAAGATACAGAGAAATAAACATGCAATTATAATGTAGAATGAGAAATGCTTCCAACAGGAAGTACACAAAATAAGTTTCTAACCTTGGGGGTGAAGATGGCTTCCCTGGAGGGGAAGTGACATTTAAGTGGAGACTTCAAGGGTACGAATTAGCTATAATTTCAAGTGCATCCAGTTCTAGTGCTCACCAGCTGACTAGTGACTCTGAGTCCCTGATCATCATCTGTGAAATGGGAAGCACACCATCGACTCCCTAGGATTTCTCTGAGGACTCAGTAAAATATAAGGTGCCTAGTTCAAAGGTGCTCAAGAGAGGTCAGAATTCTTTATTACTACAGTTGAACCTTGAACAAGAAGGTTAGGGGTGCCAATTCTCTGCACAGTCAAAAATCTACACATAACTTAGTTGGTCCTCCATATCCACGGTTCCTCTGTATCCGAGGTTCCACATCCCAGATTCAACCAACCCCAGATCAGGTAGGACTGTAATATTTGCTCTTGAAAAAATCCACATATAAGTGGACCTGAGCAGTTCAAATCCGTGTTGTTCAAAGGTCAACTGTATTAGTTCTTTTGGGTTCTTCAGAATAGACTCACATCTAATTCAGCTTGGTATCCACCACAGCACCCAGTGCAAAGATATGACAGTCCCTTCAGCTAGAACCCCTCACCTGAGTATGTTGATACAACCATTGCCATTTGTCAGGAAGAACATGTTATTGTCATTGTTCCAGGAGATTTCATTGACCTCAAACTTGAACTGCTCCTCCGCTTTGGAACGGTGTGTCTTGGCATCAATGAACGTCACCACGTCATCCTTGTTGCCTACAGCAATGGTCTGTCCATCGGGACTCCAGCAGATATTGATGTTCTCCCCTGGGAACCCACATATAATCAGCAAGGTAATGTTAGCCCATAATCCTCCAGAAGTTTATTTTGTTATCATAGAAAAACTAGAGCTATCGCCAGAGCTCATTCACTAAGGTCTTCGTCAACAGAAGGGAACTACCACTTACAGATCAACTAGGAGTCCAGCACATTCATCTACAAATTTCCCCCTTTAGTTCTCACGTTTCTTTAAGGGACACTTTTTACCCCCATTTCACAGATGAAGAAATGGAAGAGAAATGAGCCAGAGTGTCAAAGCTGTGAAGTAACAGAGCCAAGATCTAAACCCAGACTTGACACCAAAGCCTCTAACTCTCTTACACCAGCACTTCCCAAACTCCAGTCATTCACATGCCATTTTCACAATTTTTGTACTATCCATGTAACAGCTATACTTTTCTTCACTCAAGATTTTTATTAAAATTGACCCCCCAAATTTTTACTTAAATAGCTTTACTTTAGCAATAAATTCTATGAGCTAGTTCTTTTTTTCTAGTAGGCATTAAAATATATACACAATCAGTTTTTAGTGTTCATCCATATACCACCTAAATCACTCACATATCACCAGTTGTCTAGTTGGGGAAACCACATCATTCCACCTCCAGGTACAAGTCTTGCCAACAAAGTCCAGTAGCCCACATTGAATACATCAATTAAAAATTGCATCAACTTTACTGATTCTAAGATGCATATTTTTTCACACTTTATTACCTATAATGTATCTTAGAATGCATCAGGATACATCTCAAAATTTTTGGTGTATCATGACTATATGATAGATAAAACTTTATTTTCTTTCCTAATGGTCCATAAAATACTGATGCATCTTATAATCAATAACATCTTAGTCAATAAAATTTAATAAAGGGCCTCAAGGTTTATAAGGTAATACGTGGTGAAAAAGTCTGTAAATGTACTGCACAACTTCCAGGTCATTTTCTCCCAGACCATCAAAGCCATTTATTCCAAGATCAGCCATTCTAGCCTATCAGCAGTTTCCCAAATTCTCCATTCCTTTGCACATGCTCTTCCCTGCTAGAGCTGCCCACCCAATGCACCCTGACCACTAAATCTATATGGCTACCCTGAGAGTTTGCTCAAATTCTGTGAGGCCCTCCCTATCTCCCCCAGGCAGACTTAAGCATTTCCATTCTGGGTATCCACTTTGTAGACTTCTCCGTTATAGGATGACCACATCATATTACGTTAGTGTTTTTTTTATACATATGTCTCTCTCCTTGCACTAAACCCTAATATCCTTGGAGCTGGAAACTGTCTTATTCAGCTCAGGATGTCCTATACCTACAGGGTCATGCACAGAGAAGATACTTGCAAAATGCTTGTTGAATGACTATAAGTAGCTTATCTTCCTATTGCCCACTCTCTGAATAGTCACCTTTAGTGTTCACAGTGGCAATGCATTTTGTAGTCCTCACATCCCAGATGCGAATGGTTTTGTCTCCAGATGCAGTGACAAAGAGATCAGGATTACTTGGATGCCAACAGAGCTGGTCCACACTATCCCCATGTCCCCGATAATTGTTTTCTTTGACCTGAAAGAACAGAATACAGATGTCACTTCACCCATATGTACCTGTCTCCCCATGTAACTTCTTAACCTTATTTAAACAGAGCTATCTTGTGACCAACAAAAGTCTGGGTAATTAGAGAGTCGAATCCTTCCAAGCCTCTTCCCCCAAACTCCTTCCAATATCCTCCCTCCCTTCCTCCCCAATCAGTCTGAACTGTTCTGAGGATGGGTTCCACATCAATGCCCTTACTCTTTTGCTCTCCCTGGCCTTCCTCCTTCTTTCTGGTTTTCTACCCTTACTCTGCCACCAAGGGGTCCCAACCCACCTGCTCATTGCCACGGAGGCCCTATCATTTTCAGAGAGGCCCTCCTTACCACCACCACTGCCCCTAGCCATCCCTCACCACCACACGATTCCTCCCACCACTCTCCCACACCCCCACCATCCTCCTCACCGCCCATCCATCCATCCTCCTCACCCCCGGTCTTCACTATACCCGCACGCGACTCCCCGCTCATCTTCACACCTCCTTACTACTACACTCCCTACACACCGCCACCTTCCCTAACCACCAGTCCTCCTCTCCAGCATCCCCATCTTCACCCCCTACCACCCCAGCCCGTTCACCCCCTCCTCACCCTCATACTCCTCTGTCTCGCATCACACACGCCCCTCGTCTCCACACCCCTTCACCCTCCTCCCCTCTCCTCACCTCCACACTCCTCACCCCCGTTCTCTCCTTGCCACCACACCTCGCTTTACCACAGTCCTTCTCCCTAGCCTGGGCCGGGCCCTAGCGGCTCACCAACCGGTCCTTCTCCAGCAGGAAGACGCTGGCCGTCTTGTCGAAGGACCCCGAGGCCAGGCGACGCCCGTCGCAGCTCCAGGCCACCGAGTGCACCTTGGCGCTGTGGGCCGGGAACTCGCGCGTCTTGCTGTGGCCGCGGAACAGCTCCTGCATCCCGAGCACGTAGCGCGTCGGGCCGCTGGTCACTGAGCACCAGGGAGCCATCGAGCCAGGACCGCTCTGGCCCAGCGCCGAGGGCCCCATGGACGCCGCGGGGATCGCCATGCCGAGCTGCCGGACACCGGCTGGGTTGACTCTGCGGGACTGCAGTCAGCCCTGCCGCCGCCGCCGCCGCACGCATGTGCGCGGGAGAGCGCCCACTCTTCCGCGCAGCCGCACTGTGGACCATCCAGAAGGGACTACAAGTCCCAGCCTGCAGCGCGCGCCCGCTTTTGCCTTTTCAAATAGTCATGGTTCCACTTTAAGTTTTCTTTACAAATAACGGTTAGGAGGTTTTTAGGGTCTTTATTTTCCCCTTACCTACTACTTGGTATATATATTTGTATCCCTGTTTAATCGAAGAAATAACCCAACGCAATTCTAAACCTCCGTTCGCCGTCAGTCAAAAACACCTTTTTTCTAGGGTTGCTCCCCACCTGTCAGCCACATCTCTTAGAGCTGAAGGCTCTCAATTTCTTGCTGGAGAAGGACGAGCTGGTGAACTTGTCCCGGGTAAAGGGTTAGGAGTTTGTAGGGGCGGGAGGAAGGAGGAAGGAGGAGGGGGGAGGAGGTAGGGGGGAAGACACCGGGAGTGGGGAAAGGGGAGGAGGGAGGGGAGGGGAGGGGAGGGGGAGGGGACAGGGGAGGGGAAGAAAGAGAGGTGGAGGTGTTGGGAAGGGGTTTGGGGATGTTTTTAAATATACAAATTCTTTGTTTTTAGAAGGGGCTATATTCACATGATTATATATGCAAAAATATAAGATACAGAGTGAAAAGTAAATGTCTGCCTGTGTCATGCCCTTTAGACTATTCACCACACTTCACACCCATACCTTCCAAAAAATATTGTTAAATTTCTTTTGTGGCCTTCCAGAGATAGTTTAAGTGTAAATAAGCACCTTGGGAGAGGTAGATAGGTGTGTGTGTATCCTACCCCACCCCTCAAAATGGTAGCATTCCTTACATAACTTGTTTTCTATGGTAAACACCTGTAAGAAATCATTTCTTATCAGTATATGCATATGTCTCATTCTTTTCATGGATGCAGTCTTTAATGATATAGATGCATAATAGTTTATTTGATCCCTTTGGTGGACATTTTATGTCCATGATTTGCTTTTAGGACAATACTGCAGTGAACATCCCTATACAAACTTCATTGTGCACATATGCACTTTTTTATTTGAATAAATATTGCCAAAACACCTGAAGAAGTTCTAACAATCTACATTTCCACCAGCTGCATGGGAGAGTGTCATAAGGTCCTAAATACTAAGTGAGTCCACATATAAAGCACAAGGTTCTGAGAGGGGCCTTAGGAAATGAGGCCCTTTTCTTTCCCCAATTCACTTCCCTACCCCTTTAAAACTAGAAATTCTTGGAGACTTCAAAGCTTTTTAGACTCCAAAGAATACTGATGACATCACTAAGATCTTGGGGTGGGAGATTATTTGGTATCTAGTTTTCCCTCCTTAGCTTACATTTTCAGGAATCTTCTTCATATGCTCGCATGTTTTTTTTCCTACATACACTGAGAATTTATATCTCTTGGTCCCAGATAAGGACACTGAAGAAAGAAGAGGTAAAATGTCCTGCTCCAGGTCACATGGCTGGTATTAGAGGTACTGACTTCAAATTCTACACTCTGATTCTTAGTATCTGAAACCTCTAGGTTATAAATGTAATTCTTTGAATTTCTGTATTAATTCTGTATTTTTGTATGTTATGTGTTTTTTATTTCATTTTCCCTGAGTTCTTTTTCTATATTCTGTAAACACAAATGTTAGAACCTCAGTTGTGATAAGTGTATCCCACTGCTCTTCACTGAGACAGTTGTAATAGCACATTTCTGGGGACTATGAGACTGAAGTCAGAGAGTCTCAAAGAGATAAAATTCAGGGGAACAGAGGCATGGGCCATTTTGTAAAAAACTTTTTGTTTGGAAAAACTAACAAATTTACAGAAAAGTTGCAAGAGTAGTAAGAGCACTGTTATTCCCATGGCCCAGGTTCACCTGGTTTTAGCATTTGTCCCATTTGCTGTGTTTATACATACACGTATTACTCTTTTGCCTAAATGTTTGAGTAAGTTGCATACATCATTATTCTTTACACCTAAAGACTTCAATGCGTATTTCTGAAGAATAAGGATATTCTGTTTCCTATCCCTAGCATAGTTATAAACTTTGGTAATTTGAACAGTCACATAGAATTTAATCTACTGTCTGTATTTCAATTGTGTCAGTTTACCCACTAATATCTTTAGAGCATTTTTCTTCCTCCAGTACAAGATCTAGTCTAAGATTTTATACTGTATCATGTCTCCTTAGTCTCCTTAAATCTATATAAAAATTCCCCAGCATTTCCATGCTATTATGATCTTCACATTTTTTGAAAAATATAGTCGATGGACCATTGTTATAGTCCCTTCTGCAACCCAGAAATTCTCTTTGGGAGCTGATATTTGCTCAGACTCTGCAGGATGTTTTTATATACGGGTGTCATAGGAACTTGAGTCATTCAGGGCAGAATCAGATCAAAAATAATAATTCCAGGGGCTTCCCTGGTGGCACAGTGGTTGAGAATCTGCCTGCTAATGCAGGGGACACGGGTTCGAGCCCTGGTCTGGGAGGATCCCACATGCCGCGGAGCAACTAGGCCCGAGAGCCACAACTACTGAGCCTGCGCGTCTGGAGCCTGTGCTACTCAACAAGAGAGGCCTCAACAGTGAGAGGCCCGCGCACCACGATGAAGAGTGGCCCCCGCTTGCCACAACTGGAGATAGCCCTCGCACAGAAACGAAGACCCAACACAGCAAAACTAAATAAATTAATCAATAAACTCCTACCCCCAACATCTAAAAAAATATAAAATAAAATAATAATGATAATAACTCCAGAAATGCCAGGATGTGTAGAGGGAATTTTCAGGGGCCGAGGGAGACATCCTACAGTGAAGGAACAGTAGATAAGGAAGGAGGGGGGCTTGAAGTATAAGTCCTTTGTTGGTGGGGACTTTGGAGAAGCTGCTGTTGCAAAAGAAAACAGGAAGGAGCATGTCACCTCTGGCAAATCTTCAACGTATAGGTGTGTATCAGTTTAACCAGAGAAGCAAACTAGTGAAAGATATATATTACAGAGATTTATTGCAAGAAATTATTTTATACCACTGTGGGGGTTAGGTAGGCAAGTCTGAAATCCATAGAGCAGGCCATCAGAATGGACAGGCTGGAACTCTCAGGCACTGGCTGAAGGTACTTTCCACAGGTGGGATTTGTTCCCTCAGGGAAGTCTGAGTGCTGCCTTAAAGGCCTTTCGACTGATTGACTCAGGCCCACCCAGATTATATAAAATAATCTCTTTTATTTAAAGTCAACTGATTATGGATCACATCTATAAAATACTTTCATGGAAATATCTAGATTAGTGTTTGATTGACTAACTGGGGACTGTAGCCTAGCCAAGCTGACACATCAAAAAGACCATTATGGGGTGGGAGAGGTTTGGGTCTCCTGGGCAAGGTAGACTCATTACAAAGGTCAGAGAAGTGAGGAAATCAAACTAAGGAAAGGATACAGAGCTTGATTTTAGCAGCTTAGAATTTTAATTATAAAGGTATTACATTTCTATCATATTACCTAGGTAATATTGGAAACTAAAGCAGATCCCCCCATCCAAAAAAATGACCTCATTACTTATTGTACGAACTGTTTAGGGAGGATTCTGAGAAGATGGCAGAGTAGAAAGAATCACGAATCTGTCTCCCCACATAGACAACAGTTGCACTAGAAGAATCTGTCTGATGTAACTGTTTTGGAACTCTGAATAACATGGGGGGAAAAAGATTGAAGAAAAATGAACAGAGCCTGAGGAACCTGTGGACACTATCAAGTGTACCAACGTATGTGTTGTTTGGGGCGGCGGGGGTGGGGGAAGAAAGAGATAAAGGGGCAGAGAAAGTATTTGAATAAATAATGACTGGAAATTTCCCAAATTCAATGAAAGATAAATATCCAAGAAGCTCAACAAATTCCAAGTAAGATGAACTCAGAGACCCACACTGAGATAGATTATAATCAAACTTTCAAATGCCAGGATGGATAAAACAAATGGGGGGGGAGGGATAACTTACAAATTTGGGATTAACAGATACACACCACCATATATAAAATAGATAAACAACAAGGACCTACTGTATAGTACAGGGAACTACATTCAATATCTTGTAATAACCTAAATGGAAACAATCTTAAAAAGTGTACATATATAGGGGCTTCCCTGGTGGCACAGTGGTTAAGAATCCGCCTGCCAGTGCAGGGGACACAGGTTCGAGCCCTGGTCCAAGAAGATTCCACGTGCCGCGGAACAGCTAAGCCCGTGCACCACAACTACAGAGCCTGTGCTCTAGAGCCCACGAGCCACAGCTGCTGAGCCCACGTGCCACAACTACTGAAGCCCGATCACCTACAGCCCATGCTCCACATCAAAAGAAGCAACCGCAATGAGAAGCCCGCACACCACAGCGAAGAGTAGACCCCGCTCGCCGCAACTAGAGAAAGCCTGCACACAGCAACAAAGACCCAACGCAGCCAAAAATAAATAAATAAGTTTATTTTTTTAAAAAAAGAGTACATATATATATGAAACTGATTCACTTTGCTGTACACGGAACACTGTAAATCAACTATACTTAAATAAAAAATTTTTTAAGAGAATCATTGAAAGCTTCAAGAGAAAAGCAACTCATCACATAAAAGGGATTGTCAATAAGATTATAAGCAGGTTTCTCATCAGAAATTTATAGGCCAGAAGACAGAGGGCCAATATGTTCAAAGTGCTAAAACAAACAAAAAACTGTCAACAAAGAATCCTACATCTAGTAAAACTGTCCTTGAAAGTGGTGGAAAAATTAAGACATTCCTAGATAAGCAAAATCTGAAAGAATTTGTTACCACTAGACCTTCCCTGCAAGAAATTTTCAGGAAAATCCTACAGGATGAAAGGAAAGAACAATAGAAAATAACACAAAACATATGAAGAAATAAAGATCTCAATAAAGGTCAATACATGGGC